CAGTTTTCTGAAGACCCCAGATATCTTTGGGATCCAAGTCTTCAATAATTCTATCAGACATGCTTTCGAGAAGTTTCCTATTTAAAATCAGCAAATTCCGTCCATAAACAACGGATATATAAGCAAAAATCCGAGACAACCTCTGAAATTTTCATAAAAAATAAGCAACAACAACACTGCTTATTCATTGCTTTGTGTATTTTGTTTTTTTGATTAGAATCATTTTTATGATTTTACACATCCATTATTGTAATCAAAATCTTACCCGAATCTAAAAACAACTTAACGAATCAGTTAAAATGAATCAAATGTTAATAATTAAATAAATTTAATCTCTAAACTAAAATTGACAAATGAGTATTAACTTACATTCCCCATAATAACTTCCAAGTATATCAGAAAGTTTTTTTTTTAAATAGGTATATTTCAAAAAAGAAAAAAATTTTGGAACTCCTTAACGACTCTAAACGGCTCCAAATTTTTAATTTTTTTCCATTGATAGTACTTTTAATACGGAATCTAACGATACTATTTTTTTGGTTTGCTCTCTTATAATTATGGAGTTATAGACGTTCAAAAACTGTATATATAAAGTTAAAAATCACGGGAATGACTTGTTCGATTGTAAAAAAATAACATGATATGAAAGGTCGTGGAAAGGCCTTTCAGATGATGTGCAATATTATATAAATTATTAACCCATTGAATGCCAAGATCTAAAAAAGGGTTTTGAAACATGATTTTTTTTGTAAAAGTGCCCATAACTGGAAAAGTTATGGGCAAAAACATAATAAGCTTTTATTTGGTGCCTATAACATAGTGTTAACCGTTTAAATTCCGAAAATATATGTAGTTGAATATAATTATTAACAAAAAACTATTTTTAATGTTAGTATTTACTAAATGATAATAACCTTTAAGTGATTTTTCAGAAAAAAAAACATTATGAAAATCGCAGCCGTTTAGAGTCGGTAAATTATGCCCAAATTTTAATCCAAATATTTCTTAAATTGATATAAGTAAAGAAGTCTAAACGAAATTTACAAATTATAACTATTACTTTTAATTAAAATACCACCATTAAAAAATTAATTTTTCCATGCCTGTGTTGTAGTGAATGAGAGTACCAAATGTTCTATATTCTTAATTTTTTTTTTCTCCAGCAACAACTGACCAATCATACCCAGCGGTAAAAATACGCATTATGTACTCGCTTATCTAAGTGATATTTCGTGGCAGTCAGTGGTGATGCTTTCACTTATTCTTCCACTTAGATTTAACATGAAAGTATCCTAGGCTGCCTCATCGACGTGCTCTCGCTTAGAATGTAATCCACAGTAGCATTAAGACAAATTAAAATTTCACTTACATAATGTGTGGAGTTCTAAGCGAAGTTAATGAGACGCCTATAAACGCTTGGAAATAAGAATGTAATGTATGTAGATTACAATCCTATTTGTAAGTTAAAGTACCATGTGTTCCGATTTTGTTATAGAAAAAATATTTTTTTTTATATTTATTTTAAATTATGTAAGTTTATTTAAAAATGATCATCAAATAAAAAACATGTATTATAGTTAATTCTATAAAAATATAAATAAACAAATTTAACGAAGATAAATTAAATGAACCTTTATTTTCTTTTCCGTTCTTTATTTTCTAAATCCGTTTCTGCCACTTAGATCACCACAATTATTTTAAATTTTTACAATAAAATAACTTTTTTAACAAAACACAACTTCACTTACAAAAGATCAACTTTAAACTGAAACATAAAGATTCTTCTTTTCATGTAGTATACAAAAGAAAAATAAAACGGTACTTTAGTTCTGTTTCTTCTTAAAGAAATAAAAACAAAAAACAACATTAAAAAGGCAGCTAACTCTCTGCTTTAATCGTAATCTATGTTATAATTAAAGTGCATGATATGTTGGATTACGCATACATTGCACTCTAAGTACTTAGATTGCTCGATTAGAACGTCATACTGATGTCATCGAATATTATCTAAGTACTTTGTTTCATTTACCGCTGGGTATTTGTCGCCGTGCTCTTTTTCCGGGAGAGTTGGCCTTCTACGGCAATATTTTATGGCTCTATGTCAGGGATGTCCAAGGCAAAAACTGTAGTTGTATTAGTGAGCGAAAGAGAATTGCACTGACAGAAAAGTTGTGTGAATAATAAAGAAAATTCTGTTGCTTGTTTTATCTGGAGAAACACATTTAAAAATACAAATAGCATTGAAAAGTGTTATAATTTCATTGTCTTTAATACTAATATTTTTCAAAAAGTATTGAAAACATTTTTAAATTTAAAAAAAAATAATTCAAAAATATTTATTAAAAAAAACAAATTTTTAAAAATTTCGCAGTATACCTTACACAATTTTTTTACATTAACGAAATTTTCGTTTTCTAAAGTGAGAGAGTTAATTAAGTCTGAAAATTATAAAAAATTATTCAAATAATTAATAAAATTTGAAAATTTTTCAATAAATCAGTACATTACTATAAAATAATACTTTATATTAACACAAAAAAGTACAATATGAAACCTGCTTTAATAATAATATTACTTTAAATATTATTAAGAGTGAATTTCTCACAAAATATGTTTTATTTTTTCCAGTACATTATGAAACAAAAATTTAAAAAAATAAAAAGAATTGGTACACCCTCTTTGCATGTGTACTCGCTGCTGTCTGTTTTTAGTCTGCGCAAATGCGTTATGAAATGGACACCATTGCACTATGTGTTTGATTCCTAGATTTCTGGATATATTTTCGGATAGTTTGTCAAATGTATTCATAGTTAAATACACAATATTTTGCTATTTTTAATGAAGAATATGAAATATACAAATACTTGACTTTGAAGGGTTAATAATCAATAAATGATTATCAAAATTAAGCAACAATTTTTAATAATAAAATTTTTACTAAATTATTGGAAAAAATTGCTCTTTTCCATTTTTCAAAACTAAAATTTTTTATATATACTTGATTGTATGTATGTATGTATGTATGTATGTATGTATGTATGTATGTATGTATGTATGTATGTATGTATGTATGTATGTATGTATGTATGTATGTATGTATGTATGTATGTATGTATGTATGTATGTATGTATGTATGTATGTATGTATGTATGTATGTATGTATGTATGTATGTATGTATGTATGTATGTATGTATGTATGTTGTATGTATGTATGTATGTATGTATGTATGTATGTATGTATGTATGTATGTATGTATGTATGTATGTATGTATGTATGTATGTATGTATGTATGTATGTATGTATGTATGTATGTATGTATGTATGTATGTATGTATGTATGTATGTATGTATGTATGTATGTATGTATGTATGTATGTATGTATGTATGTATGTATGTATGTATGTATGTATGTATGTATGTATGTATGTATGTATGTATGTACATATGTCCATATGTCCATAATATTTCAAATAACATATTGTCAACCTACGACACATAGGCATTAATTACAGTCTAAAATAATTAAAATCCTATAAATATGTTAGAATTTATACAATATTAAATTTAATCCGTTTTAGAAAAACTCTTTGAAATATGAACTTTAAACATCAAATAAAAATCAAAACCGTAACGAATTTGGAAATTTTGGAGAACTCTATATTTTGTATGAAAAGAGTGTGTACCGAATTTCATCAAAATCAGAGAAGGTCTGCTCAAATGTTTTTTTTTTTTTTTTTTTGATACTACATATGTGAAAATTTTCTTGGAAAAAGTTAAAGGCTCTGATACACGGTTGTCAGATCTTACAACGTTGTCAGTAAAATGTGCAGAAAATGTCCAACAATCGTGAGAACTTGCAATTTTTCTTTTGCAACGTTGTCAGAAAAAGCATTACTGACAATATTGCAAGATAAAATCTATCAATTGTCTACTTTCATTTCCCGTTGGTCTTGTTCGGGAAAGATTTGAAGACCCGAAATGTGTTGGATAGTGTTACAGATAAGTATCTACCTATAAAGCAGAAAACATAGAAATTCATTAATTTCAATAGCCAATTCCAACAAGTATGTAAGAGTGTTACATTCGGCCATGCCGAATCTTCTATACCATTAAATTCTATACCCAAATCAAATAAAGTAATTTTCTGAAGGGGACCTTATATGGGGACTAGGGTTAATTATGTACTGATCCTTACAAAATTTGCAAAGATATTTAAGTTCCTATAAAATATGTTCATTTCGAATCTTACCACTATAGATGCTTTTTTATTCAGTTATGAGCTTTAAAGTCATTTTCTGAAGGGGACCTTATACGGCGCGTAGTGTCAATTATGGGCCGATCCTTATAAAATTTTACAAAGAGATTTCGATTTCTATAAAACATGCTTATGCCAAATTTAACCGCTATAGATGCTTCTTTTATACAGTTATGTGCGTTAAAGTCATTTTCTGAAGGGGACCTTATATGGCGGGGAGGTCAATTATGGATCGATCCTTTTAAATTTTTACTAAGAGATTTAGGTTCCTATAAAACATTATTATGCCGAATTTCACCACTATAGATATTTCCTTTAGCAGTTATGAGCGTTAAAGTTATTTTCTGAAGGAGACCTTATATGGCGGGTAGGGTCAATTATAACTCATTCCTTATAAAATATTACAAACAGATTTAGGTTCCGATAAAACATGTTTATGGGGGCTGGGCGAAATCGTGAACCAATATTACCCATTTTCAATACCAAACAACCTGTATTAGCTAAACATATCTGTACAAAAGCTCTCTAGCTGTTCCCGTTTGGACTCTTTCATGTTTTCAACAGACAGACGGTCGGACATGGCTAGATCATCTTAGAATCTAATAAAGACCCGGAATATATATACTTTTATGGGTCTTAGACGAATATTTTGAAGAGTTACAAACGGAATGACAAAAACAATATACCCCCATCTTTTTTGATGGTAGTCAAATTTACATCAAATATTTTAATGTACTTACTTGCAAATCTTGGATCATTCGCTGTAGTTCCATACCAAGATGCTGAAGTTCGCATATCGCTATAATGTCCAGCCAAGGATAAGTTTTCTGTAGGCCCACAATAACTTTGAACTCCTGGACTATGATAAATTGAACCCATTGTGTAAGGATTTGCCATTGCTGATGGTCCCAATGTGCTAGGTGAATTAATACTGCTGCGGCTTGAATTTGAGCTAGAAAGGCAATATTTTTATTATTTTATTTACTATATTTGAAATACATTAATGTAGTGCTCAAAAGAAAATATTTCATCATTTCGCTTATTTACTACAATTTGGTCTAAAAAGGTAATATTTTTATTTACTATATTTCAAATTTGTGATACAAAAGTCAAGAAAAATAAAATGCAGGCGTTCTCATATACCAATTATATTTCGTTATAGTTCATAGAGTACGAATATATTTTTAGTTTTCCCCTATCACTTCGTTAACTTACTTTTTAAGAGCAAAAGATGCGAAAAAGAGCCATTTTAGAAGTTTTAAATTTGAAAAATCATAAGTTTAGTAGTTTTCATTCGATTTTCAAATCCGATATTTTTTTAATGATACAAGTGTTGCCTTTTAATCCAAAAAAATAAATCCACAATTTATGGTCAAATGTCTGAGCTACGGTCGATTAAGTAAAAAAACTCACACTTTTTTAAAAAATTTTCATTTTCATCATGCTCTACTTTGGCCATGAGGCAGTGAGTTTATCTTTTATTACTTTCCTGAAGAATCACATAAAGGAAGGTTTCTAAAACTTGTTATTTCATAAAAATCTATGAAAAACTGGATGATTTATGCCAATTTTTCTAATAGCATGTTCCTCGAATTTTTGGTTTTCTCCATACAAATTAATTTTTGTATAAAAATGTTTATAAACATTTTTTAAACTTGTTACAAAGAAAAAAAGAAACATGAATGTTTTTGTATGGAAGAAATATGCAATATTTTTATAAAACTTAGCACAACTCATAACCTTTTTCATCGATTATTATAAATTGACCATCATTGGAAACCCAACTTAATGTGCCTTTTTTCAAATGTAATAAAAGCTATAGTTACTGCATCATGGCCAACGTAGAGCAGTATGAAAATTAAAAATTGTGAAAAAAGTGTGAGTTTTTTTACTTAAATGGCCGTAACCAAGACATTAATCATAAATTTTGGATTTATTTTTTTGGGTTGAAAGATAACACTTGTATCTTTAAAACAAAATAACCAATTTGAAAATCGGTTGCAAACTACCAAACATATATTTTTTTTAAGATAAAACTTCAAAAATAGCTCTTTTTACATCTTTTGCTCTTAAAAAGGAACTAAACGAAGTGATCGGGAAAAATTAAAAATATATTCCTACTCTATGGACTATAACGAAATGGAATTGGTATATGAGAACCCCTGCATTTTTTTGCTGTATCACTGTGTAATTAATGTAGTGCTAAAAGGAAAATATTACATCTTATCGATCATTTACTACAAGACTGACATAAATTAAAATACTTCGTTTCTATATTAAATACTTTTCAAGCAGATCGCCGGATTTGAAAAGTAAAACCTGATATACATATGAGCAAAATAAAAAATGTGTAAAATGATCGATGAAACTGAATTAAAATGCCTCGTATTTCGTGACTGTTTTAAAAAGGAATAAAATGTGATTTTGTTTTCATAAGAAAGCATTTAAGTTGCCTCAGATATTGCCATTTATTGTTGAATAAAATTGTGGACATTAAAGTCGAATTTTGAAGGGGGACTTTGTATAGGGGCTAGGGTCAAATGAGTACGTATAATTATAAAACTCAGTTTCCTGGACGTAATTCCTAAGAAGCTTTAATCAGTGTTAGGCAGGAATGTTATTACCGGAATAACATCACTTCCAAGATACTTAGATCTAACTTCGACGAATGCCTGACAGTGGCAAAGAAAGTGCTCGAGAGTTTCATTGTCCTCCCCACATGCTCTATATTTGTCTGAATCCGTACGTCCAATTTTACATAGATGTGCTCGTAATCCCGTGTGTCCATTCAGAATACGTACCATCATACTAACTTCAGACTTGCTCATTTTGAGGAGATTTCTTGTCTTGCTCACATCAGAGTCACCCCATAGGATCTTTGTGGTTCTACCCACCGTTTCATTATTCCAAGAGGCCTTATGGGATTCTCTTACCCATATGTTTAGTTCATTTTGCTGCGTCGATTGGTTTCTCAGGTTAACTGCCTCGAGCTCCATTCACTTTAAAGCTATTACATTCGGCCTTTCGTTGCCGACTACTCCAGAGGGGGCTGGTATCCATATGATGTAAACCTTAGCTCTGGGAGAGTATTCAGTTAAAGCTTTCTTACAATCCAATACCGTCCTAGATGTAATTCTATTCTATTCTGGTTGTCGGTAAATATATTAAGCGCCGTGGGCGCCACAATTATTATAATCCAATTTACGCTGCCCCAATTTAGAGTCATCCGTATAATAACGGATTCCTACTGGTATTTGTTCTAGTGTTCCACTTGACCAAGACATTGGGATAGAATTTGCATCACAACGAGATATATGTTGCCACTACCTTGCTTCAGTGCGGTTGCATCCGATGTAAATAATCCTGTCGAGAGAAGGAAACATAAGTTCTTTTGTCATAAGATGCATGTTCTCGGGCGAGACCCTGTATCAGCGTAGAAAAGTTGGAAATTTACGTGATTTAATACAGAAACCTTGATGCGAATCGTCCAAGGTTCCTGGATTAAATCTATATGTATTTCACCTATGTTAATTTTAGCCATCAGAGCGTTGGTAGCCGTCTCGCTCCGATGGAGGTTTATTTGAATAACCTAAGTCATGGTAATCAATTAAACTGTCTTCCAGCGAGTTGGTTTTCACCTCCTCGCTCTTTAGACTTGACTCCTCCGGGTAGACTGAAGTGGCCATTGATGCACTTCAGTCTACTCCTCCCAATTTCCTCCATTTTAGGATTAGGCTCCTCAACATTACCAGTACTTGCTTTGGGTACCGTCGTAAGTGTTTGAGTCCTTGTCGGCCGGTTTTGACAGCCCTTTCAATCGGCGCCTTCCCAATTGTGGAAAGGGCAGCCGCACTTTCTTCTGGCGAGTTAAAGGTAACATCCTCGATTTTAGGATTTGACTCCTTAACCTTATCAGTAGTGGCTACTGATGCCTTGTTCTTAGGATTTTTAGTGTTCTTTTCAGGGTTTATTGTAGCAGCCCTTCCAATCGGCACCTTCCCAATTTTGAATATGACAGCTTTAGAGGCGTAGTAAACCCTACCTTTATTCTTGGCAAGACTAGCCATAGATTTCTGGTCGTAGTTAACCTTACACGCAGGATTCTGACTTGAGGTTCCTTTGAGTGAAGAGTGGCTTGGCTTCGCACAGTGGTATAGGAAAAAAAAAGAGGGAAATAATTCGGTAACTTCTAAACGGTTAATCCGATTTTAATGAAATTTGGTATGCACAAAGAGGAGGTGTTGTCGAGTTTAGGTTTTGAATTTGGACCTTATAGGCCAACCAGGGGCCCGGCGGGGGGTCCTCAAATTAGGACACCTCGGCTATGTTAAATTTTTAAAACGATCCTATTTCTTCATTTGAGTTCCGATTTAAAAAAAATTTCGTATATAGAATCTCCTCATCGAGCACTATAAAAAATGTCGTCGTAGCAGTAAATTATCTCTTATAGTTTAGGAGATATTCGCATTTGAATATTAAAATTTTAAAATTTTTACCGTCCTTACTTTAGTTTTTTTGATAATAGCAGGTCCAAATATTTCCGATTTTCGCCATTTTTTTTTATTTGCTTAACAACAAGTTTATATACCAAGCAGTGAAAGAATTATGTAAAAATCATGACTGAGTCCAAAGTTATAGGCATTTAAATTTAAAAAATTAAAAAAAGGCGATTTTTTGTCATTTTTTTGGGAAAAAAGTATCTTTTTCTTTTTAAGTTATCTAAAAAGTTTCTAAGAAGATGTATATAGAATTTATACTTTTTGGAAAGCTGACTTTACATAAAATACGATAAATGAAACAAAACCTAAAAATTTTTGATACCGAGGGGACCAGGTCCATCCAAAAAAACCCTATTTTTTATGGAAAATTAAATTTTGAGCAAAAATTCTCAAATCGCATAGTCGATATCAAATTATAGTGACCTGTTTTATATGACCCAATAAGTTCTTAATCATTTTGTAACGGGTTTCGATAACCCCGCCCCTGGTATGGATATAATAGGCAAAAAACCAAAAAATCCCATTTTTGGGATTTTTTAAAACTTTTTTGGGAATTCCGAGATTTCTAATAAGAAAATTCGAAATTTTTATTTAATTTTGGATTTTGAGTAAAAAAATCTACCTAACTGTAAAATTTCATCAAAAAATATTCATAAATAAAATTTTTATTGCAATTTGAAAAATTTGTATCTTCGCAAAAACTGAATAAAAAACATTTTTTAATTTTTTTTAAAAAAAGTATTCCGCGAATTTTTTAATTTTCAAAAATTATATACAGTTTTGAAAAATAGACAAAATTACCTTTCCATTGATATATAACATGCCTACCTAATGTTTTTTAAGTGACAAATTAATTAGGGAAAACTCAACATCTTTTAGAAAATTTGCCTAGCACTATTATTTTCATCCATAAGGTTAACTCTTAAATTTGTTACATATATGGATGAAAATAATAGTGCTAGGTAAATTTTCTAAAAGATGTTGAGTTTTCCCTAATTAATTTGTCACTTAAAAAACATTAGGTAGGCATGTTATATATCAATGGAAAGGTAATTTTGTCTATTTTTCAAAACTGTATATAATTTTTGAAAATTAAAAAATTCGCGGAATACTTTTTTAAAAAAAAATTAAAAAATGTTTTTTATTCAGTTTTTGCGAAGATACAAATTTTTCAAATTGCAATAAAAATTTTATTTATGAATATTTTTTGATGAAATTTTACAGTTAGGTAGATTTTTTTACTCAAAATCCAAAATTAAATAAAAATTTCGAATTTTCTTATTAGAAATCCCGGAATTCCCAAAAAAGTTTTAAAAAATCCCAAAAATGGGATTTTTTGGTTTTTTGCCTATTATATCCATACCAGGGGCGGGGTTATCGAAACCCGTTACAAAATGATTAAGAACTTATTGGGTCATATAAAACAGGTCACTATAATTTGATATCGACTATG